ATGAGCCTACCGGCGGGGGCCCTTCAACCTGCCGCACCGAATCCAAAACCAAAGGCAAAGAAGAAGGGTGGTTCGAAGGGCAAGAGCAACCAGACCAATGCGGAGGCTGTGGAGGAGGAATAGCTCATCCTGTCTCTGATGAAGCTCGCCTTGATGAGGTGATCACGTTTGATCGTTTCCTTGCTTGCTTGCCAAAAACTTTCAATGTCACCAGATCAGGTTCTTGTCCGGCTACCGCAGTCTTTCCTCTGCCTGTGTCTCACATTGGACTTTTTGAGGCACGGAGGTCCCCGAGCAGAAATCAGGCAAAATGGAAGAAGTTGTGCTTGCAGCGTGCTTTCCATATTGTTGTGATGTTTTTGAACTTCCTTTATTGGGGCTTCAGATTTCCTTCTTTGGACTTTCTCGGGGGGTGTCGCAACTCAGTTCAGAGAGCGGTGTTTTGCCGCCTGACGGTGTTTTGCCGCCTGAGGGCACTTTTGACTGCGTGTGATCTCCCAGGTGCTTTTCTTTTCCAATGCCACCAGGACGATCAGGCTTTGAATTTATTGCACGTCTTGTAGAGTTTGAACATTTTGCCAGCTGAAAACCTGAGATCAATCTCGACCCCTATACTGGAGCCTCTGGTGATACTCCACTACCACTTGAGAAGATCAGGGTCATTGAGAAGACCAGAAGTTTTTGACCACCGCTGAGTTTTCCCCAATTCAACCTTATCGGTCGTTGGCTGCCTCCCGTCTCAAGATCTCGGGCACTGGACTTTGGCCCATGTCTGATCACATTGATGGAATCCTTTGGTTGCCATTCCAGGGGCCTCTTGTTTTGGAGCACAATCGCGAGATTGCGTGGGCTGGACTGACGTGAGGATTGAGTCTTTTGAGGAGAAGATGAAGTTGCTGAGGCTTTGGGCTTTTTGGCTTTGTTTTCTGAGCCGCATACCAGTGGATTTTCATGCCGTGTGTTCAATGCTCATAAGCCCGCTGACACTGACTTCTGCTGACTTGCCAGCTGGCACCATGACTTTTTTGCATTGCCCTGTTCGTTGTGCGTTGATTGGTTGCGTGTCAGACCGGAAAGACTTTTATCACCAAGCTGCGGTCACCAGGAGCCGTGCGTTCACCAACATGACGCCTTTTGAAGTTGATGCAACGGCCTTCCATGACAGTCCTGCCCTTGTGAATTTGTTTGCTGTGCTCTCCAAACCTACTTCGCGTGAGGTCCATGGTGATCGTTTGCGGATGAGACCATGCAGTATTCTGGCGGAGTGCCCTACAAAGCTGAGAGCTGGTTTCAAGGTTCTTTTCCAAGGCGATCACCTCGGGGTTGAGTTTGCATTGGCCGTTCATTCGCACTTGCTTCAGTCCGCTGGCTTGCTTGATGACACTGAAGTTGTGTTGCGTCACCGGCCGTTTCCCCGAGCCCAGTGTTTGCAGGGTTTGGTGATCGATGACTTTTTTGCGGTCTCCTGTGAGCCTGTCGGTTAACCTGCAGGGGATGCATATTCTGTTCAATGGCTTAACCTTGCCGAAAAGACTTATGCTGACCCTTCTTTGAGACCAGGGGAGCCACTCACTGGTTGCATTACACCGGTGATTCCGAGTTTGTCTGTCGAAAAGGTTTCTGCGAAGGCGCTTGAAGATTACCTACAGGAGGCTGCAGCTGCTACGTTTGGTGATCGCCTGTCTGATGAGACAAAGTCGAATTGCAGCCTTTGCGGGAATTTTTCGAATATCCTTAGCAAATCTATTTTCCTTCGTTCTAGCTTTATTCCTGAAGCAGTTTGGCCAAGATTATGGTGAAGCCGGGGATGTTGGGAAGATGGCCAGTATAGTGTGCTGAACTTTTCAGCTAGTACAGAGAGCCGTCCCGCAGGCATGGAAGGAAATGCAGCTTGAGCACCTGCCTCTTAGGTGTGACTGCGCAATTTCTACATCTCAAGCTTCCCCAGCCTGCTTAGTACCCCTTATTTGCTCACCATCTTGGCCGGTATAGTGTGCTGAACTTTTCAGCTAGTACGGAGAGCCGTCCCGCAGGCATGGAAAGAAATGCAGCTTGAGCACCTGAATAATTATCATTTTTTTTAAGTGTTCAAATAGGAAAGGAAATTGAGAAATGAATAAAGCCAGCAGACCAAGGGCTTGAGGACACTTTGTGCGAGCCTGCGCCATCGAAATGCACACGAACATGTGACAAGAGCCATCTTACGCGAGCCGCGGCCAAGGATCGTGACGCACAGTTTGTGCGAGCTTGCGCAGTCGAAATGCGCATGGACTTGTCACATGAGCTATTTTATGCAAGAACTCACAGGAAAAATGCCGCGCCCCAAGATCGGGACGCACAGTTTGTGGGGCCTGGGCAATCGAAATGCACATGGACATCTCAAACCAACATGAACACATTTTGTGCGAGGATTTGATGTTCACGTGCGATCAATACGCCCCCCCCGAAATAAAGTTCGCCAAACCCCGGGATTGATTAGTAACCCCCTAGATAAAGTACGCCAACCGATTTTCGGGCTGCGTTTTTTCCATTGTTTTTTTCTTCGTTTTGACCCAAGAATAAAATATGTTTTGTTTTGTTTTGGTAATCTTGAAGCCCCCTAACATCCAAATGATAATGAGTGATTTCAACCCTTAAATGAAATATTTCCATCTCATGGGCCCAAATTTTGACGCGGCATTTTCATTGTAAATTCCCGGGTGAACGGGCTCTCCTGGAGATCCTTCTAGATCCCTCTCTAGAAGGTCCTGGCATGATCCTGCACAGGTCCTTAATAGAAGATCTTGTGGAGATCCTGGAGGGATCCTTTCTAAGAGGTCCTTGCATGAAGATCTTGCAGATGCCATGTCTTAGAGGTGCTTGTATGAAAGCTCTCATGGGAGGCTTCTTGGGAGGTTCTTGTATCAAGTGTAAGATCCCCTCCAGCAGCAGCAGTTCCTTTTATGACGATCTCGTGAGCTTCTCTTCGGGGTCCTGGCATGAAGCTTTTGTGGAGCTCCTAGTGGCATCCTCTCAGAAGCCTTTGCACGATCTTGTGCAGGTCCTTGTGAGAAGCTCTTGAAAGGTCCTGGTGAGATCCTCTAGGTCATGATCTGACAGGTCCTTCTGAGAAGATCTTGTGGAGATCCTGTTGAACCCCCCCTCGCCAGGTCCTTGCATTAAGATCTTGAAGACGCTTGTATGAGACTTTTTTCTGGGATGCTCATAGGAAGTTCTTGGATTCTTGTATGAAGATGTTTTGAAATCTTCCATTTAGATCTACATATAAGGTTCTGCTGCTGCAGCTGCCTAACCTCATTTGTTACTGTGCCATAGCTACTGTTGCCCGTATCTGGTACATATACTTCCTACCCCTCCACACTGTTTGGAGTCTCTTGTCGGTGTAATTTTATTTTAGAGCTGGCAATAACTTTGTGATGTTACGCTCTTAAATTTATCTGAAAATTTCCAGCCAGCATGCCCTTGATGCTAATTTTAACTTCTTGTAGCAACTTCTAACACGCTCTTGATGGTTTGCTCTTAGTTGTATCTTAAAAGACGTTCTTAGTTTTAATTATTTCAGAACTTGCAACACGTTTTTGCTACGCTCTTGGCTTTACCTTGGAACTTCTAACATGTGTTTTTTTAAGAATATGCAACGCGCTCTTGATGCCATGTTTCTGCTTGTGAGGAAAGACAACAGCTGGCCGTTGGAGCGAACACGGAAAACGGAACCTACAGAAAGGCACCAACAAAAACACATGTCAAATCTTCAAAACATAATTTTTTTCTGTAGTGAAACAACGGTCGAAATAATAACTAAAATGTGCATTCACGGTAGCTGTGTGCGACATGCACGAATCTGTGGCGCCATATCGATTGGATTAGATTAAAAAAATGAATTTGAAAAACAAAATTATGCCGTTGAATGAAGCAGACAAGACCACCGCAAATACGAATGAAAATCAACATGAAACAACATGGCTGCAATAAATCAGGGTCGTGACGTGCGACCGGAGCGTTTTAGGCAGGTGTTGTGGAAAGCCGACAAGAAATAGTTTGGAAAAATCGCAATGTAATCCAAAATTTCTCCAAACCACAGAATTTACTGGTTCCAAATTTCAATCAACGTGAAATCTAGAACCGTTCGATTTAAAGTCATTTTTTGGGTGTTTAAACTGCCGCAATTGGTTGGTTCCCATGATTTCGGGTGCTTGATATGATAGGTTTGGACCCGCACAGAGACGACAATTGCACAGTTTTCAACGCGATTTGGAGAACATGTTTTTACTAACTGAATGCGTATGCCCTTTGCTATTGTTTGATCTTCTTGAACGCTGGTTGCAGACACTGCTATTTCTGAGTAGGTATCACTTTACAGTCTGTTCATCAGATGCAGGGTGCTACTGGTAGCTGGAGTAAAATGGTGTTTTTGCGTTGGCGATGCAGTATGTCAAAACGGGCACAAAGGGGCAACAGTTGCAATGAGTTTTGGTTGAGAAGTGCGGACTTATCAAGTTTTACATCGCCAATAAAAATGCGAATTTTGCTGTTGGTTCGTCGGATTGGCACATATGATGATTGTGCACACATGTTGTCACTGGTAAAGCGCTAGAGCTCGCCAAAAGGTTCTGTTTAAACAAGTTGGCATTTCTCCACTGAACGTAAGTGGTAATTTGAGCACATGCAGGTCCAGATTTTGCAGGCCCGTCGAGTTGTGTTTTGGCACCCCGCGGCCAAATTGAAAGGTGACATGTTCACACGCTTCGGGGAATGCTGTGATATGCAGCTGTGCCTGTAACCCGATAATTGTTTACAGATCATTTTTGGTGTTTTTCATCAATCATTGCGTTTTTGTAAACATGGCATGCATTGTGCAATATAATATGTTTTGTTTGTGTGTTTTTCTGCACCCGTTTCTTTGCCCTTTGGCAGTTGAAGTTGAATTGTGTTATTCTTTCTGGTGAGTCATTTTGCTGGTGACGGTGCGCTTTCATTGGCTCAAGTACATGAGATTTGACCGGATGGAAGGGGTAGTGGGGCACACAGCTTGTTGGCTGTGACCGCATCGCTGGCTGTCTCGGATACTGGAGGCTCGCGTCATGCATCGTTTTGGTCTTTTGAAATGTCACCTGTGTCCTACACAAAAAATCTATTTGCTTGGATTCAAATGAAACGCTTTGCAGTTGGCAAGTGCATCCAGGCATGTCGGCACCGCCTTCGGATGTGAAGTTAGCGCTGCAAAGAACCAGTTCGACGCTGCTGCAGCAGATCGAGGCAGGTCACAGTCATGGCAAAAATTTTTAATTTCCCCACATACATTCCATACAAAATGTGCAAATGATTTCCAGCAACACCGGTTTGAATAGGACCTTCTTGTGCTCAAGATTGCTTGTTGACATTCCAACCCAAATGCCAGGCTTTGGAAAAAAGGACATCCGAATTGAAGCGCAGCCGAGAAGCTTCGCAAGCAAATGACAAGAATGACGAGGATGCCTTAGAAAAAGAAAACAAGGAGAAGAAAAATTCTAAGGCAGCAGAGGACGGTGAACGCGACACTCCAGATGATGGAAAATCCGAAGATGAAGATAGAAGTAAACTTCCTCAGGTGGTTGGAGATGAGAACAAGAAAGCCATTTTGGTGGATCCTCGTGGCTGGGCGCGGGAGCGCTTGGCCACTGCATTGCGGGAAAAAGGAAAGGATTTGGAACAGAAGGAAAACAGAAGCCACAGGGACGAACCAACAAAGTCAGGCCAGGATTGCTTTTTCATCCTAAGTCGTGTCAGCAACTTGCAGTTTAATTATATACTAATCATAATCAGCAGCAACCAATTTGGTGACATGCTTTCTTTTTTGACGAGCTCAGTGTTTCGAATAGGGAAACGGAAGAGTTTGCATGTTTTTTTTGTACTTGAGGTGAAGGTGATGGTATGAACATCGCGAAGCCAAGTACTCCTGGCACAATCGCCAAAGCAACTGGCATGCCTGGCATGATGAAAGGAAGTGCCCCAAATCCAATGAGCATGGGCGCTGTGGCAAAGGGTGCGTCGTTGCCGCCTTTGGCTCCACTTTCTATGCCTGCAATGCCACCTTTCCAGGTCGCTGACTCTTCATTTTGCTTTTTGAAATGCTTTGTGTCGCTTCGTTGTAATTCGTTGTACATTCTTGCCGTGCACTTGCCCTTGAAAGAGTCAAATGAATAAAACAACTCGTACCATAGGAAACCTAATAGCATCGCAATGTGACTTTGGAGATAGTGACCATTTGTGCTCAGGCCAAGGGCGCAATGCCTTGCGGACCGAATGGAGGTATTTTACCAAAAGCGCTTGGTCCCAAAATGCCTGGCATGCCTGGCATGGATTTGCCATGTGGGGGAGCTTTGCCAGGTTGCATGGGCAACATGGGCCCCGGATGCGGGTGCGGAGGTTGCGGCATCGGTGGCAGCATGGGTAGTGGACCATGTGGTGGTCCAGACAAAGGCAAAGGTGAGGGCGGTGATGTGCAAGACCAAGTGATGCTCCAGATGCAAATGCAGATGCAGATGATGATGATGGGCGCTATGATGGGCTCCATGTTAGGAGAAGGTGATGAAAAGAAAGCCAAGAAAAGGAAAAAAGATAAGAAAAATGAAGATGATGACTTGCCACCGGGACCCTCCAGCGACATGAGCCACCCAAGCTATAGACCACCAGACATGGAGCACATGCCTGGAATCACAGATCGGCGCTTCGAAGGGCGCATTACCTCGTGGTTTGAGGCAGGGATGCGCCGTGAATCACACGATTCTTTGGCAATGGAATGCTGGTACTAGCGTATTTGGCTTCATTCCCCACATCTTTGCGTGGGGTTCTTGTTTTTGGTTCTGTATCCCGTCCGCCTCCATCCGCCTCCATCCGCCTCCGTCCGCCTCCGTCCGCCTCCGTCCGCCGCCTCCCGCCGCCTCCTGCTCACACAGAACTTCTCCACATACACACACAACTTGCAACCACACAACTTGTAATCACACAACTTGTAATCACACAACTTGTAATCACACAACTTGTAATCACACAACTTGCTCACACACAACTAGTCATCACACAACTTGCTCACACACAACTTGCCCTCACACAACTTGCTCACACACAAACAACTTGTCATCACACCACTTGCTCACACACAACTTGTCGTCACACAACTTACTCATACACAACTTACTCACACACAACTTGTCATCACACCCAACTTGTCATCACACAACTTGCTCACACACAACTTGTCATCACGCACAACTTGTCATCACACCACTTGCTCACACACAACTTGTCATCATGCCACTTGTGCTCACACACAACTTGTCATCACACCACTTGCTCACACACAAGTTGTCGTCACACAACTTTCTCACACACAACTTGCTCACACACAACTTGTCATCACACCACTTGCTCACACACAACTTGCCGTCACACAACTTACTCACACACAACTTGCTCACACACAACCTGTCATCACACCCCTTGCTCACACACACAACTTGTCATCACACAACTTACTCACACACAACTTGCTCACACACAACTTGTCATCACACCCCTTGCTCACACACAACTTGTCGTCACACAACTTACTCTGGCGTGGCAGGCGTGGCGCTTATGGCACTGGGCTGGCTCTGGTGGCGCGCTTGGTTTTAGGTGTGGCGCCGGGACGCCGCGGCTGTTGGCGTGGCAGGCGTGGCACTTGGAGACATCCATCTTGGTTTCACGTGGCAGGCGTGGTACTTGGTGACATCGACTCCTACTCCGGCGTGGCAGGCGGGCGTGGCGCTTGGAGACATCCATCTTGGTTTCACGTGGCAGGCGTGGTACTTGGTGGCAGTGGGTTGGCTCCTGGCAGGCGTGGTACTTGGTGACATCGACTTCCACTTTTGCGTGGCAGCTGTGGCACGTATGGCAGTTGGCATGGCAGGCGTGGCACTTGGAGACATCCACCTTCGTTTCACGTGGCAGGCGTGGTACTTGGTGACATCGACTTCCACTTTTGCGTGGCAGGCGTGGCACGTATGGCACTGGGCTGGCTCCGGTGGCGCGCTTGGGCCGGAGTGGAACGCTGGGACGCCGCGGCTGTTGGCGTGGCAGGCGTGGCAGGCGTGGCAGGCGTGGCACTTGGAGACATCCACCTTCGTTTCACGTGGCAGGTACTTGGTGACATCGACTTCCACTTTTGCGTGGCAGGCGTGGCACGTATGGCACCAATCCTTCACCATCTCTTTTCTCTTTCCTTCTTTCCCCATGCCATCTTTACCTTTCTTTTGCTGCTTGTTGGAAGAAGTTGACATGTGGGGTTATCCGGTCCTTTAATTGTCTCGACCCATCTCTCTTTTTTTGGTTGTCTATCGTGTGCAGCAAGAAGCAACTTGTTAAAGGTGTATAACACTCAATTTGGTTTGTAACCGGGCATGTCTATGGAAAATGCCAAGTTTGTGCAAAGTACATAGAGCTACTTCTTGTGTGTAGTTGGGATGTTTCTGGATTTCCGGGATGTTGCTTAGGGGTCTTGTGCGGTGGTTCTGCCCCTGGTTTTGTGTGGGTCCGCCTTGGGGTGGATCTCCATTGTACTTTGGCCGTGTCATTCTGAGCTCAAGCAACTTTCACCAGCCGTTTGAAAAAGAGGTGCCATTCAGCCTTGGTGCAGAGCTCCTTTTGTGCTCAAAGAGTTCAATGGTTCAAAGGTATATATCTGTCTTCTTGGCTTGGTGTGTTGTGGTCTGACATTCTGTTCAATCACGCCTTCAGAATTGTTGTGTTTGTACTTTCCAGCGGACGTGGCACCAGTGCTTTTTGCCTTGGTCGCCTTCGACATTCAGCACATGATTGGCTAGCATGCCCGACAACTCTGACAACACCCAATCCCAAACTTGACACCTCGTCTATCTTCTTCCTTGGTCTGTGTCTGCGCATGCATGGGCGTTTGCCTGTCTGGTCCGTGTTTGCTTTGAATGTTGCATTTTGGTTTGATTTGTAGTGCCTTGTGTGGCTTTGTCTCTTTTCCGTTAGTCTTTGGTTCCCTTACTCGTTAGTGGATTCGCACAATTTGTATGTGCCACTTGGTCAGGACAAAGGCTATGGCTTCATTGGCAACGATGAACTTAAGCAACGGTTCAACGGCATGGATGTGTTCCTGCAGACCAACCAGAAGCGGCATTTTGAGCAGGGTGATTTTGTTGCTTTCAGTGTTTTCAAAAATAAAAGGGGACAGCCGCAGGCCACGGAGTTGAGAGCCAGGTAGAGGGCCCTCCCTCGGATAGGAAGGGCTGACGTGTTTCAGACCTAGAAGGTGGCTGTATCATTTGCTTCAGTGCTTCTTTTGTCAAACGGTTTCTGATACTTTAATGATGTTTGAGATGGACAAAGTGATACGGTGTTTGATTCTTTCCGAAAAGCTGCCTATGTTATTGTCTTATTTCGTCGCTTGCCACGGGCCAAGTGTTGGGAGGGCTGCATGAAATGATTGCACCCCTTCCCGATTAGTCCACGCCAAGCAGAAAGCCAGCGCTGCCATTTCATTCTGCGAAAAAAAGGTGGCCTCCATGGTCAAGATAAATAGTGCGCTTCTGTGATTGTTGTGACGTTTTCTGCTTCGTAAATCACGAAAGCTAGCTTGTGCTAGCTGAAGTTGCTCTTGCTTTAGCAAATAATAGGCAGGCACCAGGACCATTGGAAACCCTGAAGCTTTCAAATTAGACTCCCCCTCCCCCGCTGTAACTTACTTTTGGGGACGTGTCTGCACAATGCATGACAGTGTGCATTACATGTGACATGTTCACTCTAATTCATACATGTACCACTGCGCCACTCCGTGGCTCAAGACTTGCTCGCATAGCAGACAAAAGAGTGTAGCGTGCCGCCTCGTTGACCACAAGTGTTACAACTCTTTAGTTGGGATCTAGGGCCCCCTGAATATCGGGGATTGCTACCTCAAAGTGGTAGCGGCCCTGCCAAGATCCGATATTCGGACAGCAGTTGCTTCCTGCACCTGCACCGACATCCGGACTTGCACGGGCAACTTGTAGGTCAACTGCGAGTAGCTGCCATGGTCTGAATCCATAACATGGAATCAGACGAAGAACAACTCCAGATTGTTTCATATGAAGAGCCTGAAGCCTACATCGTTAGTACCGTCGATTCACGACAAGGCATTAAGATGACTCCTAAGGTACCTCCACAATTTGATGGCCAACCCAGCTGGTTTGAATACGAAGACTTGAGTGACGACTGATCAGGCATCACCACATTGGATGCAGACAAGCACGGACTGTCACTCAAAAATGCCCTTGTAGGAGCAGCTTCGTTTTACAAGTCGATGCTCGACAATGCCCGACTCCGAGATCCGGATGGTGGCCTCGCCCATTTCAGGGACACATTGAGACCATACTTCGTGAAGGGAGTAAATCATGTGTTCCTTTGGCGATTCCTCCAGATGTTTCGCGCATATCGGGGCCAGAATGAATTCGTGCACTGGATAGGGCGTTTTGAGATCGCACAGAAGCGACTCCTGGCATCGTGGTCCGATTTGCTTGATCTCTCCGATTTACTGGAAGTAGGCACGGCCGAATTCACGGCAGCATTCAGAGATGAGCAACGACTACACTATCAACAGTTAATGTCTGATGAAGATAGAATGAATTACCAGGTGACTCTTCGAGAACAGACCATTACAAATACAAAGGCCCAACATCAGAGAGAATTTCCGTTATCGGATAACTTGATGTCCTTGATTTTCTTGGCACAATCTGACCTGAACGAACAACAGCGAGAGCGCTTTATTTCATCAATGAATATTCGTCAGATAGCAATGCCTCAGTATACATATCTCCAAGTGAAACAGCTTTTTCTAGAACTTTTCTGCGTTTCCAGAACAGGCGTTGCCGACCCAAATATCGCGCACCGAAAACGGTCCTCTTTCTACATGATCGATGAAGGTGAGGCAGAGGACGGCGAACAGGGATTTTGGGTCATTGACGCTGCAGGGGAGCAGCTATGGCAAGCTTTCCGGACCAATTTTGACGAACAATAGCTTTGAAGAACAGCAGCTTTGGGGAGCAGCTTTCGGGGGCAGCTTTACAAGCCACTTCGGGGAGCAACTTTCAGTAGCAACTTTGGGGAGCAGCTTCCGGGAGCCGCTTTGCAGAATAGCTTTGGGGAGCAGCCGTGTGGAGTTATAGGTTTGAAGAGTCGCAGCTTTGGGGCAACAACTTTGGACAACAACTTTGGGGAGGAACTTCCGAGGGGCATTGTTGAGTGCCTATATTTATATTTACTTTTTCTTCTTATATATTTGTCGGTAAGCTTGGACTCATAATCTTTATTAATTATATTTTAAAAAAACCATAATTCTATTTATTTATTATTAAATTAATTTTCTTAAATATATTTTCCGATTCCTTTATTATATTTTATTTAAAAAAATACTTCGTGTTATCCTTACCATGACATTTATATATTTTGTTATTGGCAAATTTTCTGGCATTCTATTAAATATATTTTTTGGTATTTTATTTGGCATTCTATTTGGTATATTTTCTGGTATTCTACCTGACATATTTTCTGGTATATATTTTGGCATTTTATTTGGTACATGTTTTGGTATATTATTGGGCAAATTTTCTGGCATTCCATCTGGCAAATATTCTGGCATTTTATTTGGCATACCTTCTGGTATTTTATTTGGCATTTTATCTGATATATTTTCTGGCATTTTATTTGGTATATTTTTTGGCATATATTTCGACATATTTTCCGTTATTTTATTTGGTATATTTTTTGGTATATTATTCTGTAAATTTTTTGGTATTTTATTGGACGAATATTTTGATATTTTATTTGATATATTTTATATATTTTTTGGTATTTTATTTGGTATATTTTTTGGTATATTATTTGGTAATTTTTTTGGTATTTTATTTGGTAAATATTTTGGTATTCTATTTAATATATTTTATAATTTTCTATCTGATATATTTTCTGGCATTCTATCTGGCCGTTTAGGTCCAGCGGTGTACACTGAGCTGGACAGGTCCCAGATTGAGGTCCAGTGGTGGACACTGAGCTGAATAGATCTGAGCTGGAACGGTCCCAGATTGAGGTCCAACGGTACAAAATTATTAAAATTACTTTACTTCGTGTGATCCCCACCATGACATTTATACATTTTCTTACTAGCAAATCTTCTGGCATTCTATCTGACATATCTTCTGACATTCTATTTAATATTTTATCTGGCATATTTTCTGGTATTCTATTTGGTAAATCTTCTGGCATTCTATTTAGCATATCTTCTGGTACTCTATATTTATCTGGCATATCTTCTGGCATATATTTTGATATATCTTCTGGCATTCTATCTGACATATCTTCTGGCATATATTCTGACATATTTTCTGGCATATCTTCTGGCATATCTTCTGGCATATCTCTGACATATCTATCTGGTATATCTTCTGGCATATTTTCTGGCATTCTATCTGGCAAATCTTCTGGCATTCTATCTGGTATTCTATCTGGCATATCTTCTAGCATATTATTTGGCATTTTATTTGGCATATCTTCTGGCATATCTTCTGGTATATCTTCTGACATTCTTTCTAATATTCTTTCTAACTTTCTTCTGCACATTCTTTGTCCCATTTCTTCCTACATGAGGTCCGGCAGGGAACACTTGGCGTGGATAATCGCGGTTGAGGTCCGGCAGGGAACACTGGGCATGGATGGTCGTGGTTGAGGTCCGGCAGGGAACACTGGGCGAGGATGGTCGTAGTTAAGGTCCGGCAGGGAATATTGGGCGTAGATGGTCGTGGTTAAGGTCCGGCAGGGAACACTAGGCGTAAATGGTCGTGGTTAAGGTCCGGCACAGAACAGTATAAATCGCGGGTCGCAGTTAAGCAAGGACGACGAGGAGGACGACGAGGAGGACGACGAGGAGGACGACGAGGAGGACGACGAGGACGACGAGGAAGATAAGGCAGGAGGAGGCGGAGGAGGAGGAAAAGGAGGAGGAAAAGGAGGAAAAGGAAGAGGAGGAGGAGGTAACTCACATAAAATCTAATAACCCTCACCTAGTAAGTAGGGAATAATATATAATTCAAATATATGTTAAAATTCAAAAATATTATTTTTAATATTTAATTAATATATAAATTATATATAATAAATAATAAAAAAATATTTTTTTTATATAAATAAATTAAGCATTAAAATAAATTTTTAATAATAATATATAAATTAATTCAAATATTTTCAAAATCCTAATATATTTAATATTCGAAAAAAATATTCCTAAATATAATATAGACCCGGGCAAGCCGGCGGCGGAAGTTTCCCAAACATAAATAACCTATAGTTCAAAAACACCCTGTCCCGACCGTGTCCTTCCCTCGACACACCACACCTCACACTGCACACTACACTCTTCGCACTCCAAACTTCAAACTTCACACTCCAAACTTCACACTTCTCACTTCGCACTTCACACTCCACACTTCACTCACACTTCACACTTCACAATCCACACTTCACACTTCTCACTGCTTCCTTCAGACTCCAAACCTCACACTTCACACTTCACACTTCACACTGCGCTCTTCGCACTCCACACTGCACAGTCCACACTTCACACTTCTCACTTCACACTTCTCACTTCTCACTGCTGCCTTCACACTGCAAACCTCACACTTCACACTTCGCACTTCACACTCCACACTTCACTCACACTTCACACTCCACACTTCACACTTCTCACTTCCCACTGCTTCCTTCACACTGTACACTTCACACTGCACTCTTCACACTCCACACTTCACACTGCACCCTTTGCACTCCAAACTTCACACTCCACACTTCACAGTCCACACTTCACACTTCTCACTTCTCACTGCTTCCTTCACACTCCAAACTTCACACTTCACACTTCACACTGCACTCTTCACGCCCCACATTTCACACTACACTCTTCACACTCTACAGTTCATCTCATCTGAGCTCTTCTCACCTTATCCCAGCTCATCTCTTCTCATTTCGTCCCTTCTCATATGTCATCTATTAAGCTTTCATTAATCAATTCCCAGCACTACTACTAATCACTGTCGAACCCTTGATGCACCTACTCCAATACGATTTACGAAGTCCAGTTGCAAAAGACAATAGTATTGCGCATGCAGCCGCGGCACCAAGCAACCTTGACGCAGCCATTACAATGCGATCTGCAGAGACTGAGTTGCAAAACACAATAGAAATACGCACAACGGCGTCGGAAATTGTAGCTCCAAAACCGGATCTCGACGCCAGAGCGAAAAAAAGACGATTTTGAAGCACTTTTTA